AATCATGAATAGTAGTGCGAGTCGAAAACAAGCGTTAAAGCCTTTAATATGTCTTCAAATATAAATAAACATCTCGTTGATATTTTCAGTAGTAAATGGTACCAATAACAGCAATGCAATTGTAGTGGATAAAATGGTCAATTTTTCCGTGCAGTACTGTACGGATTATACGCTCCTCACCGGTGAAGAGTTTGGCCGAGAGTTGTCTCCTTCCTTTTCTGGTCTAGTGCTGTTCTTTTCTACCTTGCGCCGGTCAAACTGAAGGTCACATCGCTACAGAAAGTAAACGAAGTATACAACTCGAAATCCTCAACAAGCTCAGGCTAACAGCTAAGGCAGGTTCAAAATTTTATATCTGCAGCACAAGCTTGGTATTCGCAACTCTCTTCTGTAATATTTAATAATTTCTAGCACTTACTCTTCAACTGGCCGAGGTTTAGGCCCTTTATAAGAAATTTTACTTCAAAATTGAGCCCGCTACCAACAAATCTACATGGTAAATGTAATTTCACCGAATACCGGTTGGTAAATTAGCTTTTAATTCGTACAATATCCAGTACACAGAACGAACAGGTGTGTTTACAAAGGGCCTGTTGATACCACGTCAATCGGCGCCTACTTATGATGGATACCCCGATGAAAACGTAGTCAGCGCGGTAGGTAATCGACGCTATTAATTTCACAGTTAATATACCAACACGTACGCAGACATGTGTACGTTTAAACACCCCCATAGACACACACACACTCATATACATACGTAGATATATATACATTACCACACGTGATACGTGTCTGCCTCCTGTCCCGGAATAATGAGCGTATCGCATGCTACAGGTGGCAGACCTAACGACATCCAAACATTAGGCGTCGTAGCCGACGACGGCGGCCGTGCGACGCCGACGTCGTTTTTCTGTTCTGTTCGAACAAACGATGCATACAATTCACGTTTTGATAGCGAGATATCATCAGCGCATAGGTGAACTCGACGATTAATGTCTCTGATATAGGTAGGTACTCTGTCAAAATGATCGAGTAGGCTGTGAGTGTAGTTATAGCTGGATACCAAAACACTTCACCGCCTCGTAAATAATGCAAGGTAAAGACCGAATTAGTGCTGATTTGGGGGTAAATAAAACCTTTTCTACTACTTATATCCAGATACAGAAGAACGCTGATTATCGGGGCTAATTTGGGATTAATGTTTTCCCAATATCGATTTTACCTGTAATCGATAATGATGAGTAGTAGTTAGTCAATTCTATTGTTGAAAGGTATTTTTATTTGTGATTGTCTCAACTGATAGCTCGATAAACAATTTTTTTACTTTTCGTACTACTGATGGTAGGGATTTCCATAAAGCATATAAATTTTTCAAGATTTTCATTTTAAATTTATTTTGATTATAAGAGCTTTGAATTCATCGACACATAGGACTAGTAATGAGCAGACGTAAGACTACGGTAAGACTAATACAGCCTTGGTTTTGGATCAGCACATTTAGTCCTGGCCGTGGCCTTGATTTTTAACTGTACATCTTGACCTTATATTGTGATAAAAAAATGGTAATTATCCAGAATTGGGGTTCCAGACCAAAATAGCTTCAAAAATTTTTTGACGTGACAACGTCTTATAATTTGATGGAGCCGGCTACACGCACGAAAAAACGTGACTCATGCGGCGTTAC